TGAATGTCGAGCTGAATGTTGTGCTGAATGTCTAGCCAGCTTCTCATCCCAAGCTCGACATTCAAAAAGAATATAAGAAACGAATGTCGAGCTGAATGTTGTGCTGAATGTCTAGCCAGCTTCTCATCCCAGCTCAACATTAAAAAATAGACAAACTACGAATGTCGAGCTGAATGTTGTGCTGAATGTCTAGACAGCTTCACATCCCAGCACAACATTCAAAAATAGACAAAATACGAATGTCGAGCTGAATGTTGTGCTGAATGTCTAGCCAGCTTCACATCCCAGCTCGACATTCAAAAAGAATATAAGAAACGAATGTCGAGCTGAATGTTCTGCTGAATGTCTTGCCAGTTTCCCATACCAGCTCAACAGTGATAAATCGAATGTCGAGCTGAATGTTTAATGTCGATCTCGGTGCCAACTTCATGGACTTCCATTTATTTAGTATTTATTTATTGCAAAATACATATTTTTTGAAAATGTCTTTGATACATTTTCAACTAAATGAATTTTGTGCATGATAATGCCATGAACTGTATATATGTAAATTGTTTAAACTGGGACAGGACACTCATAAGCTTTCATAGCTTTCTGCCCAATCCCAAATGTATTGTGTAAATATTGTTCATCATAATGTAAATATATCGAATAAAATATGTTTAAACCAATTGATAGCAAATATAATTTTATGTAAATACATAAACTTATATTTGCTATCAGTTACGTTTACAATTACAATTCGGTTACGTTCGATTTCTATCAAACAACTGTCAAATGACTGTCTGCCGAGCCCTTCGTTATTTACGTGTAAGATATTTGACTTGTTTGGTATTATGTTTAACATGTTTTAATGATATAATGACTATCGACATCGCAACGCGCAATATACCAAATCAGCCACCATATTAAACCACTTGTTTAAACCTGCTATGAGAGGACGACACGTGCATTGTAAGAAAAGAGAGACGTTACCTGTGATAGGCAAAGAGGGAACCCCCGAAATTAGGGGGGGGGGGTTCTGAACTTAATATACATTTTTGACAATTTCTAAAGGAATATAAAAAAAGGGAACATATAGTGTGTATGGTGTGTACATAATGAAATCGCTAGTTGTTTGAATGCAGGAGGTGGGCGTGGCGAAACAATGCGATATTGTGTAGCTTATTGCACAGGGGATTCTGTCAATTTTTCCTGTATATAATATTATATATATAGATTTAATAAAATAATGACAGATTTCCCTGTGGCTTATTGTCGATCTTCAGTAACACATTCCTAAGCAGTACACGGTTAAAGTATTATATACATTGTTCGTGGTATACTTCTTTTTAACTCGACATAGTAGAATGAACATTTACTGTATGAGTGTATGTCTCCAATTTGTTTTCAGCGCATGAGCAAAGAGGGTACCGTTTTTGTAGATTTCGCAAAAAGGGTACCGATATGGATATGCACCGTGTAAGCACTTCACCAAAACTGTTAAAAGTTACGCCGAAATGATAACTATAAACATGAATTGCGTTGAACGTCTGGCGCGCTTTAATGAAATCAGTTAAAAATTGCTGTTTATATCATTTACATCTTAGGCATAAAATAAAAAGAAAGTTTGTTTTTCGTGAGCATGCTATTTATCACACATCTTGTAAAATATATATAGAGCTCTAACAAATTATTTAGCAAATCACGTGAGAACTTTCAATCTAAGTCAAATGAAATAGTGTATTTATAATTAGTTGTCGTTAAGGATAATTCAAATTAGAATTTTGTGCCTTCATGATCCGCTAAAGGCATACTTCCGTGATATTCATATTTATAATTTCTTAATTAAAAAAGGAATAGATAAAAATGGAAAGATGGGGAAATATTTAATACATAGTATGAACGCTATTATAAACACTTGTCTTGATTTTCATATATCTAGCTATGTTCTAATATGTTTAAGAAACATGCACTAGCTTATTTTAACATGCAAAATTTTATGTAAATTGAATGTGACTAAAAGATTTGTAATAAAATGTAAATTTTCTACAATTTAAACTGCAGTCAGAAGAGTTAATCTATATTCATGTTCAATGTCAGTGTAAAAAAATGAATGTGAAATTCTGTATCTAATGTATCTTACATTTGCAATTAAACTATCTTTTAAAGAATAAATATAAATGAATTCCACCAAATATGAAGTACAATGATGAATCGCCTTAGTATCTGTCACTAAGTATCTCGACATAAGTTTTGTCAAGTAATTTAAGACTCCTTAGAACATTATCTACGAAATCATTATTATTTATGTCAGAAGTTCTTGTATTTTTCAGAAATATGGATCTAGAAGAAATAGAGATTGTTGAAAATTTACAAAAGTTTGCCATGGAAACATCTACACAGGAGAAGGAGCATAACAACACTGAAAGTAAAAGTTACCAAAACAACCATTTATTTGTTGCTAAAATTGTTGTACAGACAGTTATTTTAACATTGGCTATATTTGGAAACACTTGTCTATTTATTGTACTGCGCAGGCGAAAGAGGAACTTCACAAGAATGCATGTTTTCATAACTCACTTGTGCTTTGCCGACATGTTAGTTGCTTTCTTCAACATTTTACCTCAGCTAATTTGGGAAATTGTCGGAGAGTGGAAAGCGGGTGATATGATGTGTCGATTTGTGAAGTTCATGCAAATATATGTAATGTACCTATCAACTTATGTTCTGGTTCTTACAGCGTTAGATAGACGACGAGCTATATGTTCACCCCTACTCAGTCACACATGGACATACAAGCTTGTTCACCTTTCTGTTGGAGCTGTTTATATCCTGTGTGCTTTTCTAAGTTTACCCCAAGCAATCATATTTAAATACCAGGAAACTCAGCCAGGATCCGGTCAAAAAAACTGCTGGGTCCATTTCAAACCTGAATGGACATTGCAAGTATACATAACAACTTTCACAGTGTTGGTATATGTATTACCGTTGATTATACTTATATATGCATATGGTTCTATATATTATACCATATTCATCAGACAAAAACAATCTAAGAGAGATTTTTCAAAAAAAGATAAAGTAAACTCGAAGGAAGATCCAGTAATAGGAAACAATCGAGCACCTATAAGAAGGTTCAATGTCTCATCACTGTCGAATTGTAAGTCCAGCAAAACCAGTAGACAATGCATGGTTCCTCGCAGTAATTCATTTGCAGGATTCACACGTGCTAAGATGAAAACTGTGAAATTGACATTAGTGATCATTATAGCATATATTGCTTGCTGGTCTCCGTTTTTTATATCACAACTTTGGTGGCTGTATGATGAATCTGCGCCATCAAGTCGTAAGTATATGATGCCTCATATAAGCGAACACAAGTTGTTTATTCTATATTTTTACATTCAATTCTTTTCTTAAGCGTGTTCATAAGAAAGCGCAGTATACAATTTTATTTTTTAATTGTATTTTTTACAAAAAGATGCTGGTGTTGCTGTTGGTAGTCTACCATTCAGATTATAGCTGTACGCCACATGGAATTTACCAGAACAATGAACTGGTAACGTCTGGCACATACGGGAGCAGTGCAAATGAAGGGATTCATGATCAATCACGAATGACCTGCACCGTACGGAAATCGAACCCGAGTCGCCCGATTCACAGTCCAAATGCTCTACCTACTGAGCTAACCGGGTGGTCCTTGGCAAAAAGGTCACGCTATCTAAATCTTAATACTTTACGCGGAATATTTGTTTACATAATGATGTTTTTGATTGGTCGGCTATATACACTGTATACCATGAAGCCATTAAGGATTGGTTTCTAATAATATAGAGTCATGCATTATGGCGTAGCTGGTTTATCACCAGGATAACATCACTTTCTACTGACCGTCAATAGCAACACAATGAAAACAAGGCAATTGGTAGTCATAAAATAATATCTTCAGCCACGTAAGAAACACATCTCCTTGAAGTAAAAAAATAAATAAAATGAAATATTAATTTAAAAAATAAAAGCATTAAACTAATTGCCTTTTTTTTCTCACGAATCACATTTAGAAGCTAACAAATTTTCAAGGTAATTGGTTATTCTTAATAATATATGAATAAGGAAAGCCTCACAAGGCGAGCTCTATATTACAGAATTTATTATATATTATTTTTGCTTATTGATTTATTTCTATTTCTTTATTTTTGTATTCGTGACATGTTTTAAAATGAACGATAAGAGACTGCAAAAATAAAATATCTAAATTGCAATTTCAAATGCATTCCCGTTTTCTTTCCTTAAACTATTTTGCAAATAACATGAAAAAACATGTAAAAAAACCTCCTAATTCGGAAACCTTTCTAATCCGGAAACCTTCCTAATCCGAACTTTTCTTCTGGTCCGGACGAGTTCGGATTAGACAGGTTCCACTGTACATGTATATATATATATATAAAAAGCTGTTATGTATTTATTAAACCCACCAGCTGCAAATATACAAGTCTGCACGGTCGAAGCATTCACTCAACACTTCTACTACACATTATTTTTCGTTTGAAAAAACGGCAAGTTCATGTTTTATATGATACATTGTATTTACGTTTTAGATAAGTTGCGGTTAAAAGATAATTATTTTGACCTGTAATTGGTCATAATTTGAATCAGTCAAATTTCACACTTTTCGAGCTCCCTATAATTAATTATGAAAAAAATTCATAAGTGAGCAGTTGTTTATAAAAATCGTGATAGCTAGACTAATTTACTTAAAACAGCGTTTTTTTCAAATATAGTCCATTTACATCTTCCGTTCATAATGCACGTACAGGTTGGAGTTCTTAAACGCTTTTAACATTTTAATGATTTGATTTACGTGATATCTAACAAAGTTTATGAAATTCGACCATTTTTCCCAAGTGTTCAATATTAGCATGTGCTTTATCCCATTCAAATTGATTAAATCATTTACAGACGTTTTTATAAAGCAAACGTTTAAATGACGTCATATACAACGTGGTATTGAATATTTAATATTTTTACATTCCTATGTTTTCGTTTTAGACAGTGCACTCGTAATCATGATTCTTCTAGCGAGTTTGAACAGTTGCTGCAACCCTTGGATATACATGGCATTCAGTGGCTCTATTTCTGTTCGTGTACTAACATCTTGTTTTCCTTGCTATGGTAACCGAAGCACGTATGATAACAGAACCACAAAGGACAGCCACGAAAATCAACGAATGCTGCCACGAGTACAATCAGTGCTTACAACCTTATCACCTACTCCATCAACATCGTCAAGATTAATTGTTCCAAATTTGATCACTGTTGAAAGCAGTTCTATCTAATTTCTACACTAATCACGTGGATGGTTATAGGTTTATCATAGTATTATGTATAAATCTATGTGCCAACTGTTTGCTTATTTTCATTCTGAATAAATTACTGGTAAAGCAAATGCGATACACTGGTAATGCATAGAAATATGAGACTTGTTTTAAAGCAAGGGCGTTCGTCTGATAAATTTGATCCCAATCACATGAACGTGCGTGATTCTTAAATTTTGTATGAAGCATACTTAAAGCCCCATGTTCAGAAAACAAACTTTAGGTATGTTACAAGTGTGACTTAAAGTATGTTATACTAAAAATTTGACTTTGTAAGAATTTAACATTTTAACATTAACTTACAAATGATTAAGTGTAAGCCAGTTATATATGTAGAAGAACGCTAAAGATATCGTCTACCGACAGCGTTTTTTAAAAAGTTTATCTGAATAAAAAATATTTACAAACGTGGTGTAGCGCCGATATATGTCCAAACGTCGAAAAATGTCCAAACGACGATAAATGTCCAAAAATTGACGATAAATGTCTCAATCGCCGATAAATGTCCAAAACTCCTTTAACGATAAATGTCCAAAAATTAACGAAAAATGTCGCAACAAATTAGGTGCTCATAAATGTCCAAATCGGTTAACGATAAATGTCTCAACTTTTCATATGTTAATTTGTTATTTATTGTATTGGATACTGTAACAGTCTATCCAACTAACCCGTGATTTTATCCTCTGGTTTACCCCCGACGTAAAATGTATCATACATTATTGTGCATGGCCAGTTGCAGATCCGGATGGGGCGGGTAGGGCATATGCCTTCTTAACTCACCGAAGCAGTGTTTGTGTTCTTCAATATTTTTGTGCCCCATATAGCGTTGCCATTGTCCGTCCGAGTGTCTAAGTATCCGTCTCGAACGTTTGTGAACGGTATAGGGGCGTGGACAGAGTTGCAAATTCCTTTACTGTCAAGTGGTCAAAAGTTAAGAAAAATATGCAACTCTATCTGGCAAACAAAGCAGTTAACCTGTATAAACCATGTGAGCTAATCAAGGGGTTAACTGCTTTGACAGTTAAAATCTGACCTACTGATTCAACAGCGAACAGTGCAGACCTTGACAGGATGACGCATTTGCTTGTCGGGGGATATGGTTCGACAATGGTCGTTGTAAGCATATATGTACGCAACACGTGTTAAATAGGTTTGATGACTTTTCTCTTTAGTGTTGCGAAGACGGTCCATCTCATGCTACATTGATATTAGACATTTGTATTTGATTATTACTCATTCGCGCGTATTATTACTCATGAACGCCACTGCGGGGCTACCGCCTTATAAATACAGAGTTTTGAAAGGCTACTTACATGTATCCCTCCAGTGTCGACCCAGATCAGTTTGCACGCAAATGCGTCACCAGATGAGGGTATGCGCTATTAAACACCAGTAATTGGTAGTTAAGGTTTTGTATGTCCCTACAGTGTGGCACTTTCAAGATCAACCTACATGGTTATACATGAATATATAATGTATATATAATCAATTAAATGTTCAACTAAATAAGGGGAAGTAACTGCTATATTACCATTTTACAGCTTCTGATTGGCTATAATTATGTCGTGAGCAAGATAATTATTTTGTGGGAACAAGATATTATCTCGTGGGAACAAGATAATTATTTCGTGGGAACAAGATAATATCTCTTTGGAACAAGATAATATCTTGTGGGAACAAGATAATTTCTCTTTTGAACAAGATAAATAAAGACACCCATGTGTCACATCTGTGCCACCGTAATAGACACTTGACGTAATAGTATGTTTTCTTGCTGTGCTGGTTGGATACAAACATGTACATTTAAAAATTACTTATATGTCAAATATTTACTTAACATAACTTATTATATAAATAACACATGGCTGTCATTTTGCATTATGCTAACTGGTTACTAAAGCATTATCGTTTTTATTAATACAGAGTTATGTAAGAGTTATGTACCCCAGGATTTTACGGGTGATTTGCTACTCAAACCTTCCTCGAGTAAGTCGAGGAAGACTTTCAAATATGAATAACAATTCTACACTTTAGTTCACCTTGACCAAGGCGTCCTCAATTCGTCCTTAAGGAAGCCTTTCCAGAGTTTGAGTGGAGGTTGAGTTCGAGTGACGACACTGAATATAGCTATAAGTGTAGAGTAGCGCAATGCAGATGTTAACAAGATATGTTTGTAAAACATGTATGCCCCCCTAAACACAGCCAATTTAATATTATAACATTAGATTTTTAAATGTGTATAAAAAATGCATAGTAAATTTGTTATGGAATACGTGTATATCATTGCCATGGGGCAGAACCAATATGACCCATGGGTCCATGAATTGAGTAAACCCTGTAGTTGTCAATGAGACAATGTTACACACAAAATATCTTCTAAAAACAAGCTTTTCATGGTGAGGTCACTGTGACCTTTACCGTTAACCTACTGACCCCAAAAGCAATAGGGGTCATCTACTAGTCATGACCAACCTCCACACCAAATATGAGGACCATCAGCCAAAGCATTGTCTAGTTATTGAGCGGAAATGGCATGGTCTACGGACCGACGGACCGACATGGGCAAAGCAATATACCTCCACTTCTTCGAAGGGGGGCATAATAACTTATTTTATTTGACTTTTTTATCGTTGGTACCGGTTACCCATATGACCAAAGTCCCCTGAAGATTGTTAGTATATTATTTTTCGAGGGATAGTGCATGATACAGAAGACGCCCCGTTCTAGAGGCGACCCTGGTTCTTTTTAGTGCCCGGTGTAAAGCACCAGTACAATGCACCTCGGTTTAACTTATTTTTTCCCTTTAAAAAGTAAGGGAGATAGACTATATCCAACAATCAACTTATTTTCAAATACATTTTTAAAACTTTTTTTAACAAACTCACAAGCATCCGGCTAGAGTCCCGGTGGTCGGTCGGTGATCCAGGAACGACCGGGGTACGTCCGTAACTTTGTCGGCAACGTCCAGGATGATCAAAGGCTCTGCCGGGGCTCTACCGGTGATTGTCGGCACTCTATCTGACCGAACCGGGGCTCTGCCGGGATCATCCGGGACTCTGCCGACATCATCCGGGGCTGTGCTAGCATGGATCTCAGCTTTTATGATCTCTTTGATCGAAGACTTAACAGCGTTTGAATATCGTGTTAGGTCATCCGTCGTCCACTTACTATCTACATTATTCGTTGTTTCAACTGGACTCTGCATGACTGGCCAGGAGTTCATCCTGGTTGTTATATTAAGTCTGGAAATTGGTATCGCCGTAGTACTACCGGGGTTATTGAGACTGCAACAATATTTTCATCCCGGATCGTCTGGGGTGGTCCTGGGCTTTGCCGGGGTGCTGGTGAGAACGCTACTTAAATCGGTACTTTTAATCCCTATGGAAACTGGCTGATGCAATACTGTTGATCATAGAATTAAGTTCAATTAACATATGAAAAGTTGAGACATTTATCGTTAACCGATTTGGACATTTATGACCACCTAATTTGTAGCGACATTTTTCGTTAATTTTTGACCGGTAGGAAGTTAGCAGTAGCAGTGAGCAGTAGCAGTAGCAGTAGCAAATTTATAAAACGTGAAGTTGGCAGTAGCAGTAGGACAGCAGTAGCAGTAGCAAAAATTATAAAACGTGAAGTTGGCAGTAGCAGAAGCTCAGCAGTAGCAAAATTATAAAACGTGAAGCTGGCAGTAGCAGTAGGACAGCAGTAGCAGTAGCAAAATTATAAAACGTGAAATTGGCAGTAGCAGTAGCTCAGCAGTAGCAGTAGCAAAATTATAAAACGTGAAGTTGGCAGTAGCAGTAGCTAAGCAGTAGCAGTAGCAAAATTATAAAACGTGAAATTGGCAGTAGCAGTAGCTCAGCAGTAGCAGTAGCAAAATAATAAAACGTGAAATTGGCAGTAGCAGTAGCTCAGCAGTAGCAGTAGCAAAATTATAAAACGTGAAATTGGCAGTAGCAGTAGCTCAGCAGTAGCAGTAGCAAAATTATAAAACGTGAAGTTGGCAGTAGCAGTAGCACAACAGTAGCAGTAACAAAATTATAAAACGTGAAGTTGGCAGTAGCAGTAGCACAGCAGTAGCAGTAGCAAAATTATAAAACGTGAAATTGGCAGTAGCAGTAGCTCAGCAGTAGCAGTAGCAAAATTATAAAACGTGAAGTTGGCAGTAGCAGTAGCTCAGCAGTAGCAGTAGCAAAATTATAAAACGTGAAGTTGACAGTAGCAGTAGCTCAGCAGTAGCAGTAGCAAAATTATAAAACGTGAAGTTGGCAGTAGCAGTAGCTCAGCAGTAGCAGTAGCAAAATTATAAAACGTGAAGTTGGCAGTAGCATTAGCACAGCAGTAGCAGTAGCAAAATTATAAAACGTGATTGGCAGTAGCAGTAGCTCAGCAGTAGCAGTAGCAAAAATATAAAACGTGAAGTTGGCAGTAGCAGTAGCTCAGCAGTAGCAGTAGCAAAATTATAAAACGTGAAATTGGCAGTAGCAGTAGCTCAGCAGTAGCAGTAGAAAAATTATAAAACGTGAAATTGGCAGTAGCAGTAGCTCAGCAGTAGCAGTAGCAAAATTATAAAACGTGAACTTGGCAGTAGCAGTAGGACAGCAGTAGCAGTAGCAAAATTATAAAACGTGAAATTGGCAGTAGCAGTAGCTCAGCAGTAGCAGTAGCAAAATTATAAAACGTGAAATTGGCAGTAGCAGTAGCAGTAGCAAAATTATAAAACGAGCATGGAGCATTGACATGAATAATACATTTTCAACAATTCATGTATTACAACTTCCACAATATGACTATTTTCAGTGTTAATTTTTAGTTAATAGAAATTTATTTTATTTTGTTATTCAACATCAATTGGTAAAAAATAACACTATTAATTGGGTTGAGTAAAGCAGTCAATCTAACTTATGGGGACATGTTACAGAAAGAAGGAAGACAATGTTATATATATTGTTTCATCATATATGTAATTGTATTTTAGAGAAATTTTAAATTTACAACCGATGATCGGTTGCCTTCGTAATGCCTGCCGAACACTTCTGAATACTCCAGGTAATCGATTTCATGACCGAACATAATATAATTTATCACTAAATGATTAATATATGATGTACGTCTTTTTTCAAATTTACAAACTGGACAGGATTTCTTTTTTTCATTAAACGAGGAAACTTTAATTCGACATATAATTTTCGACATTTTCACTTTTCATAATATTTTCTGTAGTTGGTAGTATTAATCGGGTTTCATTTTTTTCCAGCAAATCAGAAAGAACTGACCTTTGGTTAATGCACATGCAAACTAAAACATGATGAAAATTAATTTCTTCTAAAAAAAAAACAATTTTATGTTGATTTTTTTTAACTGATTCGAAGACATGTGTCAAGATATCAGATGTGGTGTATTTCCAAATAACTGGTTTCTTACATTAGAGTAGATTGAATAGGACGAAGCTATGAAAAAATGATACTCTGATGCTAAGATATTAATTATATCACTGAGGAATCGGTGTTGATAAGCAAGACATACAAAATACAGCGTTTTGCTTACTGTCTATTGCTTGCTGTGCATATTTTAAAGCAATAATATCAAAACATTCCGAATATTGTGATAACGTTACAACAAACAGTGTACTGTCTACTGTCTATTTCTAACTATTTTTTTCTTGTTTCAAAATAAAAAATCTATTGCAATCACATTGGTCAAAGAACTATATATACAGTTGCCGAAATAGTTTGTGTTTTTTGTATTTACTCATAGATAGCAGTCACATATAAGGCACGCATCAAGGCTCCCTCAAAACTGTTTTCACTGCGACTATAGACATTAATAAAGGATCGATCTTTATAGCTGACCATTTATACTTGTTGTTTACTACTTCTGGACTGAATAAAATGTAATAATATGTAAAGCATGCTCGAATTCGAAATATTCAGTGTATAACTTTTCTTTACTGTTTAAGTACAACATTGACCATCGGTGTGTATGATGGTCATGAAACAACATTAGAATTACAAGACTGTTATTCCGGGAGAATGGATCACTCTCGCCGAGATTACCAACTCGTTCTATCCGACTCCTAACACAACGAATTCACACAGTCCGAATAAAGTTCAATACTCCGTATTACCGTTTTCTTGTATTCTAGTATTCAAGTTCAGTATCCCCAGACATAAACTAAAACCAAAACCTCTTTGACGTTGGGCAACCGGTTTACTAGTACCAACGCTAAAAAATCCAATTTTCATATCAGTACTTTGTGATAAAAAGGCGAACGTTATTGAAGTTGCGAGGTCGAATACTTGAATCTCGGACTACGAGTTTGAAGGCCACCTAGTTCAACAAAGCAATAATCTAAGCATTGCAAGCAACGTATGAGCCACATTTGTCTCGGGTTCACATTTTGTCTCACGAGGTGTGACCCGATGTGCTCGTTTAAACATTTATATTTGCGAAAAATGGGAAATGAGGACAGATGTGTTCCGACACACAATTAGAAAGGACACTCGAATCACATTTTGGGCTCTTCACATTATTCCATAAAAAATTCTAAAATGGTAATAATTATGCCCGTCCGTATC